CTCACTTCACTGATAGCAGGTGTGGAGCGACTGTCTTATGAGGAGAGGTTGAGCCTAGCTCATTAGAATACAAAAGAATGACAGCCGACCTTATTGAAATATGCAAGATTCTTAGGGGACTTCACAGTGTAGGTAAGGTTGCTTCACCTTGTTGGAGTCTAGGACCAGAAGGCATAACCTCAATGAGGGGTTGTACATTTCAGGCAGCAAAGTGAGGAATTTCTTCCCTCAGAGGGTAGTGAATCTGTAGAATTCTTGACCACAAAGGGCTATTTCAGGCTGGCTGATAAAGTACATTCAATTCTGAGAAAGATAGATTTTAAATAAGTAAGGTAATTAAGGATTATGGGGAAAAGGGAGAAAAGTGGAGTTGAGGATTATCAGCATGGCAGAGCAAACTTGATGTGCTGAATGGCCTACTTTTGCTCCTATATCTTATGATCTTATCAACAGATTATATCTGAAGATTCATATTGAACTCAAAACTTTACCTGTTTCTCTCTGCATAGATGTTGCCAGCCTTATCGAATTTTTCCAGTACTTTCAATTTTTTTATTTCAACAGACTATTTAACAGACTCCATGCTGTTGATTGAACAGTTATAAACAGTTAATTGGAACTGTGACATTAAATTTAAGAAACCTTTTAGATTTTAATGACTTTTTAAATGAGCCAAGTTAAAGAAACGTTGTGGTTGGTTGGTTCACCGAGCTGGTTCGTTGTTCCACAGACGTTTCATTACCCTGCTGGGTAACATCATCAGTGCAGCCTCCGATGAAGCGCTGTGGTGTGTTCCCGCCTGTTATTTAAACTCTGGTGTTCGTTGAGCTGGGTTACCTCACTTCCAATTTTCCTTCGCAATGGAGTGTATATGGGGTCTAGCTTTGTGTTTATTGATGGCTTTCTTAGTGGAGAACCAGGCTTCTAGGAATTCCCTGTGCTTGTCTCTGCTTCGCTTGTCCCAGGATCTTGGTGTTGTCCCAATTGAACTGGTGGTTTTCCTTATCTATGTGGATGGAGATGAGTGAGTATTGATCATGTCTTTTTGTTGCCACTTGATGTTTGTGTACCCTTGTGGCTAATTTCCTTCCTGTCTGTCCACTGTAATGTTTGTCGCAGTCCTTGCAGGGAATCTTGTATATGACATTGGTCCTGTCCATAGTGGGCAGTGGGTCTCTGGTTCAGGTTAGCAGTTGGCGTAGGGTTGATGTAGGTTTGTATGCAACTCTGATGCCCAGTGGCCGTAGGAGTCTTGTGGTGAGTTCAGATGTGTTCTTGATGTAACGTAGTATGATGTGTGTGTCAGTGCATGCAGTATCCTCCTATGTTGTTCATGTAATAGGCATCTTCTGACCCAGTTGTTCGGGTGTCCGTTGTCTTTAAATACTTGGAGGTACTCTTCTTCCTTTTGGCATAGATCTGCGTTGCTGCTGTGTGTTGTTGCCCATTTAAATAGTGTTCTCATGCAACTTCATTTGTGTGTGAAAGGGTTGTTACTCTTGAAATTCAGTACTTGGTCAATGTATGTGGCTTTCTTGTGTACCTTTGTTAGGAATTCCCCATTGCTCCTGTGTTCCACCATGACATCCAGGAATGGGAGCTGTTTGTTTTTTTCCTTCTTCCCCGATGAATCTGATCCCAGTTAGGGTGTTATTAGTTCGTGTGTCTCGTCTAGTTTGGTCCTTTTAATAATGATGGAGGTGTCATCCACGTATCGTATCCATAGTTTCGGTTGGATTAGTGGAAGGGCCATGTCTTCATGTCTCTACATCACCGTTTCAGCTATTAGTCCGGAGATAGGTGATCCCATGGGTGTTCCATTGATCTGTTCATATATTTGGCCATTAAAGGTGAAGTGGGTTGTGAGGTACACGTCCAGTAACATCAATATGTTGTCTGTGCAGATGGTGTCGCTCGGGTCTTGTTCTTGTTTTGGTAGTGTTGCCAGAGTTTCTCTTGCTAGTGGTATGTCCATATTCTATATTCACATTGCGAAGGAAAACCGGAAGTGAGGTAACCCTGCTCAATGGACACCAAAATTTAAACAACAGGCAGGAAAACACCACAGCGTTTCATCAGAGGCTACACTGATAATGGTACCCAGCAGGGTAATGAAATGTCTGCAGAACAATGAACCAGCTCAACCAACCACAACATCCACAACCTGAGCTACAAATCTACTCTAAAACCTTAGTTCAAGAAATGCTAGTGATAGCAATCCCACAGTAATTTAAGAATACAAGCCCTGAATGCAACCACAAGGCTGACTATATAGATTCTTTGCTGAACAATTGGAATTAAAGTTCATGTAGGTCATCAGAACAGTTCTGTCAGCACATCGGAGTGCAGCTTCATTTAAACAGCTTGTCAAAAGTTTGCATCATGTACATGTTGACCAAGCAGATAACCCAGGCTGCACGTGATTAAAAAAATTGAAATGTTTGCTTTGAAACCTTGGGTAGTCCTCATTCTATTAAAAGTTACATCCTTCGCTTTGGGATACTATAAGGTATTACTTTCCATAATAGATTTAATTATAGTTTACATGGTACATATTGCATGTAAGCAATCTATATTTCTTCAAATAGAACTTGCATAGAAAAAACTACTAACATGGATTTTACATTCCCATTTAGGTCCATTGGTTTCCAAAATGCAACTTCACAAAATTTCAAAGACTCAAATATATAGTTTTAATAAACTATGCAACACTATTCTTGCATTCTTCCCATCATCCTTGACTTGTGCAATTTTGAACATGCTTTTTTTGCCATCTCTTGATCATTTGTCAGTTCACCTATCCACCTTTTGGAAAATTTTTTGTGTAATTTCATCTGCAAGAATAATGTTTTTCTGCAGGTTTTCCAAGGGGATCTTATTCCCTAGGTTACAGACTTCTTTCAGATTGCTCTGGAAAACTTCGGAAAATTATATGCCATTAACTCAAACATTTGCAAAAACCTTACAGGGTCTGATATCATACCATCATAAGGCCATAAGATATGGACTCTCACTAAAGCTAAGCCACGTTCAAGACTACGTAAAAGAAGCTCATTAAATTTTTAGTGAGATCTACTAGCCCTACTGGACTGTGATCAATTAGTACTTTTTTTGGACTAGTAAAACAGTAATCAGACATGTCCACACAGAAACCAAATGTGTCAGAAATGGGTCTAAATACACTGAAAACAAAGGAAAATGTCATTGAATTATAAATATTGTAAACAAGCTAAAACATCCTCAATTAAGAAAAAAATCAGTAGGAGCATCAAGCAAGAAAGTGACAGCTATATGAACTACTGTTTAGACACCATTAGAACATTCCAAAATGAAGATAATGACAATTTAATAAGTTGCAGCTGCCACAATAAAAATCAGTTTTAAAATCAACACTGGTGCACAATTGAATCAATGTCCTAACACAGAAGAAATACAATAGAGTTCAAGAACATTACTATTAAACTAGAAACTTATATTAAAGAAAGTAGGTTCAGATTGTCAAAAGAAATTGCCCCCTTGTGAAAAGCATATTCTTTGACATTTCAAATGTTGAACTGTAACATTATTAAGACACTGAAGAAATTTACATCTGCTTGTGCTGGTTTTACAATGTGTGTGCAGACTTCTCGTCTCTAAATACTGGGAATACACCCAGAAAGATACTCTCCTCCACATGGAGCAGAATGCTGTTCTGACAAGCTTCCCATCCTAGGAATCAAGCCATCAAGGTAAATATTTAACAGTTTCTAATTCAGATTGAATGGAAACCGACAGTCTATGATCAACTTCCACTATACCCTGCTCTAAAGGAGTAAGTCACCATAGTCTTACCAGACCACAAGCTGACCTCTCATTACAGAAATGACTGGTGGTAGTTTAACCCGAGAGTCATCATGGGAGAGGTTGAGAAGGAGAGTCCTTCATGATAACCTCAACCGGATGCAAGAATTGAACCCATGCCGTTGGCATCGCTCTGGTGGCATCATAAACCATCCATCCAGCCAAATGAGCTAACTGATTCGCTATCCAGCTCCTCTAGCCCAAGAAGAGATTCAAGTATTTTCTAGACCGGCGCCTACATCTTCCTGTACATTAGCTTTCCTGCTATAAACGTTTTTAAATTGAGATTTTTCCTTAACAAAAAATTGTTGATATGACTTCAAAGGCTCTAGAGAGAGAATCTAATGCTGTCTTAACAGTGGTACAGATTTTCCTACTAAAATAATTGCGAACTGCTACCAATATGTATGCACAAATGATGCAGCAAATTTGATACCTTGTCATAGGTGTAAAAAAAGCAATATGGGTAATTTTGAAAGGATCATTATAAAATCCAATTCTAATATTATAATTGAAAATTTGAATTTAAAATATTAGGTCTTAAGCAGCCAATGGCAGGGAAAGAAAATTTACAGAACCTGCCACAAGGAATCAGGTATTTTTAAACAAATGCCTCAAAATAATGACTTTTTTTTCTTTCTTTCATGGGATGTGGGTATTCACTGAAGCCAGAGCTTATTGTCTATGAACTGAATGGCTTGAGCCATTTCAGAAAAGTTTAGAATCAACTAGATTCTATGCAGACCCAAGGACAGTAGATTTCCTTCTACAAAGAATATTTCAATAATGGTTTTGTTATTATCATTATGGAGAATGAAACGATTTTAGAATTCCAGATTTATTCCACCAGCTGCCATGGTGGGAAATGAATCAATGTGCCAGAATATTAATCTGGACTTCTGGGTTTCTAGATTAATGGATAATACCAATAGACCACTAATCCCCCAGAATTCTCATCTCAGAGGCATTTTGTTTCAAGATCTTATATATTTTAACCCCAAATTCCTTACTAATAAGTCCTCCAGAAAAAAAAATACAGTGCTTCTACATTTCATAAGAAATGTTCTATGATCAATGAGCATAGGAACAATTTAAGCAAGTTAGCTGTATAATGTCCTCTCTGATTTTCAAGTTTCCTAAGTAGTACTGTATAAACAATCCAGAACTGCTCCAACCTAACCAAATAACAAATAACACATTGGTTTTCAATCTCATGACTTTCTACTCCAGGAAGCAAATTACTCAATAACTTCTAATTAAGAAACAACAAAAAAAAATCAGACCAACGACTTTTCACATCCAAGGTCTAAGCTCAGGAACAAACAAACCCGAGTAATGTCGCCAATTTACGCTGAACAAATTTGTTTAGTGTTATGTTGTTGGCTAATATTAGCCGTGGGGATGCACGTGCTAAATCAACAGTATCAAACAAAACAAAAAGATGTCAGCATATAATTTATATAATAAATCTAAGTTCCTGTAATAACCTACCATTGATCATAACCACATAGTTTACAACAGCTGTCGCATTGATGTAGCTATTTTAATACAGAGCCATCTGGTGATATCAGGTTTTCAAACAGTGAAATGTATACGCGGGAGTAAACAATCAGGATGCACTGACATTGTGTCTTGTTTAATAACAATATTCTTCTTTATATTTAGCCTTTATGACATTTCTCTTCAGAAAATAACTGGACAGCTGGTTTTCAAAGCAGTAATCTGAAAAATAATTTCACTGATTAGTACCGTACAAAATGGATTGCTAACTTTATCTTTTTAAATAGTTTATTGTTTGTATGAACATTTATGATTAAGTAAACTACCAGCAGGGTTCTTCAGATGCATAACATACTACACAAATATACAGGATATTCTTTCAGAGCAATTAGTTAGTTGAGTCAGAAACTCTCATAACATTTAAGCAGTATTTAGATATTCACTTGCGGTGCCATAGCTTCCACGGCTATTGGTCAAAAGCTGGATTAGTGTGGCCAGAACTTTGTTGACAATAGGCCAAATGGCCCCCTTCCATGCTGTAAATGTTTGAGTGTTCATAAGTTCATATCAAAAACTCTGTGCAATAATGAACAGCAACCATCTGCATAAAACAAGTTTAATTCTGAAAAATTATTTTGAATTACAACCCATTTTCTGTACTATGCACAATTCAATTGGTCTGAGAATTTTATATCCAATAATTTTGTAAATGATTTTTTCTACTGTTTCTTTTTGACCAGACTGGATATTACTTTGCTCAGCAACAGTATCATTGTCTTTAACAAACATTTTGATATTTTTTAAAAATTAAAAAGGTAAAGTCACGATAGTCCTGCCAGACCATGGGGCTGCTCTCTTAGAGAGAGATGACTGGTGGTGGTTTAACTTTAAGGTCATCATGCCTCAGGCACAGGGAGAGGTCAAAAATGAGAGACTTTCATGGTAACCTCAGCCAGTGTGGAAATTGAATCCATGCTATTTGAGTTGCAAACCAGACATCCTTCCAACTGAACTAACTGACTGCAGCAAAGACTGAAATGTTTTTTCTGTGGCTCATTTACTAAAAGATGACATTTGGCACAGCTTCCACTCAATCCCTATCATCTACTCACTTACTTAATTTCAATGCCAGTGACAGCAAGTGTACTGCAATTAGCTTCAGTATTCTTAATACGGCGATAAAAAGGCATGGATCTCCACCCTCTTGCTATTCCATTGATCCTAGACAAACTAAAAATAGAACTACTCAAAAGGAGGACACAATTACTCCCATGTGATCAGTTGATAACTCACCTGCACTCAATCCATCATCAAGGAAAAATAATCAACTCGGTATAGCATCAATTATGGAACTGCATCCTAGCAGAGGCCAGCACATTCATGATAGGCAGGATAGGAAGGTAGAAGACAAAATTGCGTACTGTCATTATCTGTTTTGTATTTTTTTTTAAAAATGTCAATAAAAGCTGAAAAACACTGTAAAAGGTAACAACAAAATAGATAGCTTCATACTGAAAGTGTTTGATGCCCAAGTCAGAGTGAAAGAAGGGGCAGCTGAGACGTTTGATGGGTTAGAAATTGATAATGATTGACTGGTTAGCTTGATTGGTCAAAAGTGAAGATAAATAGCAGATAAAACATAATGTAAAGTAGTAGGAGGTTATTTGGTTCACAGCTTAAGTACAAGGTCACCATAAAATTTAACTTGGGAGACTGTAGGCTTCATTACACACATTTTTCTATGGTTTTTGTATTGGTTATGTCAGATTTGCATAGGAACCAACACCACAAATTGCTAGGATCAAGGTGAAATCTTGTTTGATAATCTGTGGCCTCCCAAATATAGGCTTAGACAAGAGAATCCAACAATGAATAAGCTTCAAAGCATATCCACAGTGAAATATATGAAGTTGAACACATGCACCGTCAACCTAAGACTAACAAATGACAGCTGCGCAGACTTCACTCTTACTTTAGCATTCCAATTGGGAGCCTGTATCATCTTCAGATGTCAGGCTAAATGAAAAGGAATGCATTTGGTCACTAACCATGTTAATTCATTGTTTTATTAATTTCACAATAATGGCATCTAAGACTAAAGTCTTTCAAAACTATTGCCCACTGCTAGCAAAAATAAACTAATCAACTTATTTGCCTTCAGTCTTCACTGCTGTACTCATTCACAGGACTTCATTCTTTATAAATAGTAAAGTCTAGGTTATAGCATCACAGAATGATATAGCACAAAGACCACTCAGCCTTCAAATGGCTCTTTGAGTGTCACCCTCCAAAATGTTTCCACATTTAGCCTGGAAGAAAGTTTATTCAGCAAACAGGTATCAGATTTGATTTAAGAGTTATTCCTGAATCTGTATCCTTTTGAGCAATTCCTTCTGCATAGATCCTAACACTTACTGCCAATTGCTTTAAACCCTCTGGTTAGGGACTATACTGTCAATGGAATCAGTTGTTCCTTTATTTACTCAAACAAAATTGTTCCTTACATTGAGTTACTTCATTTCTGCTTCTGCTATTTGCAGATGAAGCTGCTGGTAGGAAGCACAACCAAGGCAAGGCAGCACTGAAGTTGTGACATCGCAGGGTCTTTGGTTATAGTCAGTTTGCAGAAGACAAAGCCCCCACACACCCAAACATCACACCCAGAACAGACTTCCCACCCAAATCCCCAGATGTCTTCTCATCTACCCCACAACAGATTAGCACAGAGTCTCTCCCCCTCCAACCATTCAGATCTATTTCCCTGGACACACATACTCTCTCTGTCTCTCCCAACACCCTCTCACCCCCCACCCCCCCCCTTCCCCCCCCCCCCCCCCCCCCCCCCCCCC